TGTCGAGGGAAGCCAAGCGCAGCTTACTTCCGGGTTTTAGGACGTGTCACTGCAGCTCTCTCGTCTCCTCTTCACACACCACACTTTTCGCGGCACACCTACTTACAGCCAATCAGCTCTGAATGATGTGAGATGACGTATGGTGGGGATGGCAGCTCAGTGCCCATATGGTCATTATTTTTTTGCCACACACATTAAATAGGAAAATACTCTGAGCATGCGCAGTGTAGTTTTTACAGTCACCATTCACTTAGACAGTGAGAGAGAGGGGCATGATCGGGTTTTGTCCCACATGGCTCTAAACAGCTTAATAGGCACACACTAGGCTTGTTTGAGACAAGCGAGACCTGCGCAGACCTGCGCAATTGCGATCGACGTCTTGCTAGTGCATTGCATGATGGTTAGTCATTTTGTCCGACTTGCTCTGGAGGCTCGCCTACATGAGACGTTGAAATCTCGCGGGACAAAGACGCCCGCAGACTTGAGAGCGCTGCGCGGCGAGGCGGCGCAGTTTCTCTCCACGGGCTGCGGAAGCAAAATCCTTGATGGGAAACGACTCGCTGGTATCTCGAGCTGAGCGCTCATTGGTGGTTTTTACCGCGTGCTGGGGATGAAACTCTCCATTGGCTCGGCAAAAGTGTGTTGTTGTTTTGTGTCAGTTTTACGTCGCCACTTCCATTCACATTTTTCATCATTGTTCCACAATGTTTATCATCATGAAATTAATATCTATATATTTTATACTATACTTGCACTGCTTACCGTTGTCATACTTTATATATCTTAGCATATTCATACAACACACTGTTCATACTAGGCTAGGCTACTGTGTATATAGTGTATTCATACCCCTCACTGTTTTTTCATCATTCAATTCATTCTATATTTTATTCTGTAGATTGTGTACATTACTTTTCACTTTACTGCATTTTGCACTCCTGGTTAGAAGCTAAACTGCATTTCGTTGTCTCAGTACCTGTAATCTGTGCAATAACAATAAAGTTGAATCTAATCTTGAGCAGGAACAAATGTATTTACTTAGTACATATCTGACATTAACGATTAAACACATTTGTGCATTCTTTATAAATGCAAACCGAGTCAAGCCGACTCCGAGCTGTCCGACTTCAGGCGAGCTTTTTGAGACCTCCCCCGGCTGCGATCGGCTATTCTCGTCTACTTTCGAGGCGAGCCGCAGCTCTAATGTGACTGTAGACACTAATTAGAAGAACACAGACTAAAACAGCAATGTACTGTACAGACGAATCAGATGATTAAACATGATCTTAAAATATATTTTATATATTTGTTATTTATTTTTTGCATTTTTTTTAATCATTATTTGTAATACTTTCTGCACACTAGGTGGGGCTGTGCCCCACTTGCCCCTAATGACCAGTCACCACTGTATATTATTCTTGAATAGGTCAATCTACACAATGGATACTTTTACTTTTGGATATTTAGTATTTTGTTGCTAATCAGTCTGTACTTTTAATTGAGTAACATTTTGAATGCAGGACTTTTACTTGTAACAGAGTATTCCCCCACTCTGGTACTTCTACTATTTCTTAAGTACATTATCTGAGTACTACAACCTCTGGTTACATTCAAGCCTTTGTGAAATGAGTTTACACAAAGTTCCCCCCCCATGGAACTCTCCATCTCAAGTCTTCCTAAGCATTTTTTCTCCCCAAATGATTCCTTCTTTTTAGCTGGGTTGTATTCTTATCTGGAGCATTCAGTCCAGAACCCCCCCTCTCAGCCATACACTTAGCTGCTGCGTGTTGCTGTTATTCTCACTGCCAGAGGAGGGAGACAAAGTTCCCCAACCTTAAGATATGAAATGAATGTATTATGCAGGGCAGCACCCTCAGCAGCACAGGCAAGTCACAATATTAAGCAACAATGAGGAAAAAGGATCTGACAATAATTAAAACTTGCACATGGATGAAATATGTATATCAATATATTGGCTGCACAATTGAAAGAGTTCAAACCCATTTATAACACATTTTTCATGTTGTGACTCAAGTTGTAATACTCAGCCAGAAATGAAACAGTTTTGTGCAACACAAGAATCAGTGGTGGTACTTTATGCTGTACTGTACATTTATACTCTATTACATTTGGAAAAGCAGAAGCAAATGATGTACTTTTTACTCCAATACATTTATTTTACAGATTTATGTATTAGTTAGGCTACTTTACAAATTCAGATTTTGACACACAATACTTAGGGGAAAACGTTTACATTTGATTATTTGGTACAGATTGAAACCATCTAACATTATATCTAAGACACTAACCATGTGTGGGTTAACATACATGAAAATGTATTGGCAGCTAAGTGAATTGTTTAAAAATATTTTACAGTTCCAGATTTGTGTGATGTTTTTGCTCCTTTTGCTTCAAAATATTTAGAATAGTTAAGAATTTGTTGAGTATTTATACTCGTGTAAATAATCGAAATACTTTTCCCACCACTCACAAGAATACACAGGCACATAGTAGGCCTATGTATGTATGCAAATGTGAAACCTTAGAAAGCAACACTTGAGACAAAAACAAATTACTATTTTAATATGGATAAAACAAACATGACCTTTTATCTTATTATTTTCATTCTTTATTTATGTATTCTGTTTTTAGTGCGACTAACAATTTATTTAAAAAATGGCATCAACAACCTCGCATACACTTCCGCCCCACCGCCCCCCCCCCCCCCCCCCCCCCCCCCCCCGCCTCTGTGTGGCACTGTGCACCCCCCCTATGGGTGAGTGGGCTGCAAGTCAAATGAGCTCTCCGTCATCCTGCCGCCGAGCACCGGAGGTACTGCGGTAAGATGCGGCGACGCACGATGCCGAGCGCTGGATGACATGATGCGCAATGGCCGAACGAGTGGGGGGGGAGACCGAAGAAGCATTCACTAACTGCGGGGTCTGCCTCTGATCTACACGAGAGGGCTACAGCGATGCGTGTGTGACTGATCTGTAGAGCTGCAGCTCCAGTGGTGCAGGCCGAGGGGAAGGATGTGATGCCGCTGAAGGATGCTCCACAGCCCGAGGAGGGAAGAATAGGCTTCGTCTGTAAACAAGGAGGAAGCAGAGAGACATTAAGTGAAGGACACTTCATTCAAAGACACTAAGGCATCGAATAAGGTGAGAATTAATCAGAGCATTCCTCAGGCATCCCTTTCAGGACATGTTGGATGGGGATACAGATTCTCCAGGTACAGTGTGTGGTTACATGTGGCTCATCTTTATCACAGTGCTACACATCCTGCTCATATGTGGAGGCTAATATGATATGCATGGACTCTACTTGAGTCCCTGTGTGCAAATCATTTGAACTATGTAGGCACGAGGAGTGGATTTATGGATTGATGGCCACCTGTGATTCATTGTGTGTCCCTTTAATGGTTCTGTAAGGCTGATGCAACTACTCATCTAATTGGCACCCTGATGGACATGGTGTGAATTCCAATTTCATATAAGAATAGGGCTCTGTTGTGTCAGAGTAGTTTGAAAAAGAAGCCACTTAGATTTAAATGCATGGCTTTTGACAAACTCACACCCCCACAGACATGACAGCTGTAATCCACTCAGCCAAATCACATCTCTGTGTGGGATTTATTAAGTATGTTTTCATTTAGATTTTAATAACATCTGCGCAGAATCTGCTTTAAATTCTTTCTTATTAATGACATAAGTAATGTATTAAATTGTGTCTCCTGCTGGTATTATTTCAGCTAAAGCAAACAATTAACATATGAGTGTTTCTGTGTTCATAAGCACATATCACATTCTTTCACCTATGGGTCTTAAATGTCTTGTTTTGTCCCACTTCCCGCAGGTTGTTTGTGACAGCTGAGTCAGTCCTCAGTGATGAGAGAGCGGCCGACAGGGAGGGCGTTGAAGCTCTGAAGACAGCATCACTGAGCGTCAGTGTGGAGGAAAACAAACTTCTCATTATCCACTCCATCATCAGCGCCGACAAATGGATGTCTGACCTGGGCGTTTCTTTTCTTCAGGACTCTCAAAGTTGAGGAGGGATAAAGAGAAACAAGCACAACTCCAGCTGGCTGTCAGGGAAACAGCTCATTCTATTTCTCTTTTTTGTCAGAATGAACTAAGATTTGAGCAAGAGAGTCTTTCAGTGTCGAGTAGATTTGTCAGAATTAAATTATACAGTATTTCATAATGCTTACTGTATTCTTCTTCCAACTATGATATGTTTACCTTTTGAGCTGTCACGCTCTGAATCAAGAATAGACTCTTGACAGTGCCAGCACTTCCTCTCATGAATAGGATTTCAACTTGACCTGACAGTCTGCATTTTAATAAAGCATAAGCGAGGACAAACCAATAAAACATAGATGAGGCCAACAACAAGCACCATGCTCCAGCAGAATAATAACAACAACTACCCCTGCCTGAACGTGTCAGGCTCCACCAGAGACATGCTCCAGAAGTGCTCCAGAGCCTCTCTGCCCTTCCCCAGCCGACTGGAGCTGGGCCTGGGAGACCTGCCGCTGATCCGGGGCCTCCGAGCCTGGGCCCTGTGCTCCAAGAACCGCCGGAAGGTGGGAGGAGGCCAGGCCCCCATAGCTCCTCCTGTGGGCCGTGGGGGTTCCACTTCCTGCCCCAGGCCTGCAGATGTGTGCCTGAGTGGGGAGTGGGGTCGCATGGGGTACGGGCTACCTCTGGGGCTGGACGCCAGGCAGGCTGGGCTTGGAGCCTTAGTTACAGTGGCCACTCTGAAGACCTCAGAGGGCAGCGGGAAGACGCAGACTCAATGCCTCTTCCTCCGGACTGAGAAAGGAAGCTGTTTGTACTCCACAGCCAAACCCAGTTCTGGGGGGACTACCAGTGCAGCCTCCAGCGTGGTTGGAGGATGGCTGAGAGGGAAGACAGGAGGAGGAGGAGGAGGAGGAGGAGGAGGAGGAGGAGGAGGGAGGAGGAGGAGGAGGAGGAGGAGGAGGAGGCATAGGCATCCCAGGCGGGAGGAAGGACAATGGGCCAACTCCGCCGGCACATACCGGAGTAAACCGGGTTAGGGTGCGATCTGGCCGGAGATGGAGGAAGTCAAATAATACTCGGGAGAAAACAGGCGTGAGCAGAGAGAGGCAGCAGAGCAGCAGGGAGGATCCTGCAAGAGAAAGGCAGGAAGAGCAAGACAAAGGACGCCTGGCCAGTAACCAGCTTCCCAGCCTGCATCAGGACAGCAGGAGAGCCAGGCAGGAGAGAGACGCAGCAAGCAGAAGGCCTAGATGCTGCCACAACGCTTCTCCCAGAACCTGTGCTCGGTGTGTAAGGAGAGCACAGAGGAGGGGAAGCCAGGATGGACACGAGGGAGGAGAAAGTCCAAGAAGAGGCACCTCAAACAGGATAAAGGGTGAGGGGAAAGGAATGAGGAAGGACATGCAAAGGAATGAGGAGGAGGAAGAGAAGGGAGGCCTCTGCGGGTTAGAGTCATCTAGTTGTGTTTGGGCTGTAGACCCTGACCTAGAATCTAAGCACTCTCATCCAGAATCCAACAGCAGCTGTGATGGTGAAGAGACTGGAAAAGAGAGCAACGAGGAGCTGAAGACACAAACCTCTCAAAGCAAGGACGACTATTCAGAAAGAGAGGAGGATAACAACTCTGAGGTTATGAAACTAGATACTGGAAACAATGATTTTCCTCATGGCCACTCTGGACAGGATAATGTTACCTTAGGACTTAACAGAGATCTTGATGACAGAAAACCAAGTGAACACCCCTGTGAAGAAGTAGCACCTAATATGAATGGATGTCCTGATCAGTCTGGGGCAGATCAAAAAACTGACACAGAAAGGGAGAGTGTGGATCTTGAAGAGAAGGAAGGGAGCATCAATCGGACTCCTGCAGAATTCCCGGTTTTATCCGACTGCTATGAGGAGGTCTCTGTCTCCATCAGCACTGCAGTCTCCCTTGAGCTGTCCACTCCTGTAGAGGGCAGCACCTTCAATACTGACCATGAGATTTGTGTTCAGAGAGAGCAAGTGAACTCCAGAACAGATCACCTTGAGGGGTATCAACAAGGGGTGGCAGACCCAGGAATCATTGCTAAAGGAGAACTGGATCTAATCAGACTTGTGCAACCAGAACCCAACTGTGCGGCTGCCGAGAACAACACTGTGAACACAAACAGGAAACCCCTGTTTTCCTTTCAAAATGCAGGAAATGGCAGCGTGCTACAGGAGAGAGAAGCCTCGTCTAAGCCTCCAGGACACAGAGATCCTTCCATTTCTGAGACAGACGGGAGGAACGTAACAGGGAGCGATTGTAACTGTAGTACAACTGAGCTTAACAGAGCAGGGCCCAGAGACGAGCTGGTGTTGGGTAATAGAGAAGCAGAGTTACATGAAGGGGATACAGAGGAGAAAGAGGACACATCTGGAGAGATTTTGAGGAGGGAATGCACCTGCTTTGAGCTGGACAATGCTGAGGGCAAAGGTGACAAAGAACGAAATACAGAGGGTCCCACAAATGAAAGTTCCATACAGGAGGATAATGACAAAAAGGAAAGTGAAAATTGTGCACAAATGGACAATTGGAGGATAGAGGAGTCTGCAGGCGGATGCAGGGGAAGGGGGAAAGAGGTTGTAGACACCTGTGGACAATCAACCCATGTTGAAGCAACTGGAGAGACCGGCAGTACTGTTGCCTGTGCTGATCCCCCCACCTCTCTTGCACTCTCCCTGGCTAATCCTGCCCCCACTTTTCAGCCCCTGAGTTCCATGGAAACCAGACTGCACTGTTTGGACGAGAATGTGGAGAAGGAAAGGGTCGGAGTGCTGGAAGGAGACGAAAAAGGAGGCCAGGAAGGGAAGAAGAGGCTCAGGAGACTATTTGAGGAGCAGGGTGAGGCGGAGAGGGTCTCCACCGTGGCCACTGAGGAGGGGGGGAGAGAGGAGGAGGGGAAGGAGAAAGAAGATGAGTTTGGAGTATTCATGCAGGCGGAGGGAGAGCCGGCCTGGAGCGAGGGATCCACCACTGCCCCAGTGCCTTGTGGGAGCAGAGAACGTGTTGGTGAGTCTCACCGTTTGTAGTTCTGTCTCTTTCTGTGTATTCTGGTTAGCCTCCCTCTCTGTCTTTCTCTTTTAGTATCTCTCTGGTATCTTTCAGAGTTTACGTGATTTTGCCATTTTGCTTGGAATGGACATGGGACAGAGGATCCTTTGGTTAACAAAGCTGACATTACAAGGCCTCAGAAGCGGAGTCTTTTAAAGTTGTCAGAAATGAACAACATTAGAGACCTTTCACACTCGCTCAGGGTATTAGTGCAAACGTACCCTTTTGTACAGTCTCAGGAATGCACATGCACACACTCTGATTTAAAGGGCCACACCAAATCACAAGTCAGAGTCAACTCTATTGTCCATCTTGTGTGTGTGTGATACAGAAATGCTGTTTATCACCTTCCCGAGGAATACAAAAATATAAAAAACATTAAGAGGCATAAATAAAAAGGCACAACAGTCAATATATACAAAGTGACTCCATATTACAGTCATTCATTTGTAGTACCTTTTTTCCTGTTCAGCCATAGCATTCATTATCAATAAGATCAATATGTACCTAAATTCCTTTACATGCGATTATGATCTAACAGTGAAAGATAATTCTGCACACCTGGAAGAGCTTTTCTCAACCCATGTTGAGGCATGTGTTTGCAGAAGTATATCTCATTCCTTTTTCACATTGATCAGCAATGTTAGCACCTAGCTTTCTTATTTAAATCATGATACAAAAAGAAGTTGAAGCTTTATACGGGGGCACCCTTTGGAATAGCAACACATGGCTGCCTGATTAGTACGAAAATATGTCATCAGCAAGACATGTTACCTGAATGCCTAAATAATAGTCTTTCAATAATACTCAGCTCTTATATAGCCAACAGTTATGACATGCACCTGAGTGTGTGATATATTTGTGCTTTTCTGTTTCCTTGTTAATTGGGTTTCATGTTTCCTCATTATGCTCCCTTTAGCTAATCACCTAAGCCAAGTTTCCACTGTGCAGCCAAATGAGGCTAATCCGGGGTTTCATCTTATTTACTATTTATTTCTTCTCAGTGTATCCACCTGTAAGCATCCACCTTAAAAGTTATGCTAAAGATTTATCAGCAGAAGTTGCTTTCTCCGTTGACAGAAATCCCTTTGTGTGAGTTATCGTGAGCTGAAGGACCATTCCAGTGTTTTTGCAAATGTACTTTTAAAGGTCCCTTCACCAAAATGACATGACGTTTTGTTTTGTGAATTATCCAGATTTCCTTGTGACTATTTCTTTGTTTGAAAGTTAGTTCCAATTAAAATGTTGTATCATTTTTCAGCACACACACACACGGCTAAATAAAATGTAATTGATCTCCATTGTGCGACGTTGAAGCATAACTTAATTTAATTGATGTAAACCAAGCCTTTGAATGAACTAGCTATAATAATAATAATTGGATAATAATCCAATTCAGAGGCAATAATGTAATATAATACATTATTTTATATATAGTAAAGGTGAGAATCTTTTGAAATACTCCATGGCAGCCTGGTTTTGTGACATGCGCACTGAAGAGACTTGCAATTATTTGCCCTGGACTTCTGCTTTCAGACGTAGTTAATTACTAAGTTATTATCCTATCCGATAATAATCCAATTCAGAGGCAATAATGTAATATAATACATTATTTTATATATATATTATATATTTATATAGTTACAACCGGCCCTTTGAGTGCAACCTTTATGCGAATGTGGCCCGCGATGATATTGAGTTTGACACCCCTGACCTAAACCAATGCTACTACATGCAGACTTAATGCTTGCTGTCACTGAATAGAGGTTTAATCAAGCACAAAGAAGTATGTTCAAATATTTTCATATACTACTGAAATGAATAGAATTAAATGGTTGCCTTCAATCTGCATAAAAATCATTAAAAGATCTCCATAAAACACAAGAGTGTAGTTTTCAAAGATAACGATCTAGGAAGTAAAATAAATGTAATTTGCAGTAATCATTAGACTACAAACCTTTAAACTACAGGTATTGTTCGGAAGGAATTGATTGTGGAACTCGAAAAATAACAAAAGAAAAATGAGTTGACTAATAACAATACTTAGCTCTGCAGGGAAACTGAGACTCTGTTCTGTCCTGACATGAATTCCTAACAGATCTCTTGTTCTTGCTACATGGTATTAATCATTCAGAGTTAGGGTAAGGGAGGGGGGGCAGCAAACAGGGCCTGGGTCTCTAGTTAGCCTGAGGTTATGGAGCAGCGGGTGAAAGAGAAAGTCACACAAAGACGACTGAAGTGTCTGATAGACACATCATGATAAGTTGGAGCAATGGGAGGTAGGGATGTTTTAGCATGGCAAACAGCATCATTTACAGCAACTATGTCACACAAAAATGACGTGTTTCCTTGCAACGAGTTGATTCATGTAATTGTTAAGGCAAAATGAAAGCCAAGGTTTCAGGGAGGCTACGATCCTATATTTACTCTTCAGATACCAAATCTTTAGGATTTCGCAAAACAAAGCCAACACCAACTTCAAATGTGTGTTCCTGTGTGTTGACTCTGTAATTCTGGTGCAGACGTTCACACTACAAGCTGCTTCCTAGGATTGTGAAAATGTAATAATAAATATGCTAAAAGGTTAAACAATGTGTGTTGTTTCAGTTTTAAAGTAATGCTAGTACAGCGTAGAAGCATGAAAACTGTAGCCCAGTCTTAGCCATCAGTTTTTCTAGCTATAACACAGCTAACATCTACAATGGATAAAGGTTTAGTTAGTCATAGGAAATACTTTAATATCACAATCTTTTTTATAACAAGAATTGTTGAGTATTTGTGCATTAACAAAAAAATATTCACACCATTTTTGATAAATAAACAAATCTAATGTAAATATAAAGACATAGTGGGTATAGGTAAAAAGAAAAAACATAACTAAAACTAGGAAAAGACAGCGTTAATTATGATGTGTGTGTGTGTGTGTGTGTGTGTGTGTGTGTGTGTGTGTGTGTGTGTGTGTGTGTGTGTGTGTGTGTGTGTAGCACATGGAAACCACGCCCTCGCTGGGGAGCCGACCCACTGGACACCAGGCTGGACGGATAGCCTAATCCACCAATCAGATGACACGTGGACAGCCTTCCCTCAGGACTGGTCAGATGAAGGTGGAGACATGGTGGGACAGTGGTGGCCGACCAGCACTGTGGAGGAGAGAAGAGAACCGACCAATCAGAATCTGGTAAAGATGTCAAGTCTTCTCAGCTTTTTAAAGATGACTTCCATGAAACCATAATGTGGTAATTATGCCTCAGATGTTTCTGTTGAGATTGCATCCATTTCTCTGAGAATTCACTGAAAAACTCTGTTCATTTAACCCTCAGCATAATATTGTATTGCAGCGCCCTGTGAAGTTGAGTCAGCAGACCCAGAGATATCATCTTTTTTATTCCATGCATTGTTCTTTATATATGTGGGCCACAGTAGTCTGGTCGAGACACTTTTTTTCTGATTCTTTTTACTCTAGATTTGTGTCATTTTCAGACTTGTAATCTTCAGACCCAGTCGAGGATGATTCAGGTGAAATGGAAGTTCACAAGGCTTTTTGCTTCCTTTGTTCTACTTGTAAAATACAAAGTTGTAAGCCATTCGACTCTTCTATTAGGGCTTTGTGTATTTGGGATTCTCAAACCTAACCTTAATGGCGGATCAACTTAAGCTCAACCGGCTTTATCTACCTGTAAACCAGCTATTCATTGCTTACAATTGCAAAAATCATTTGAAAAATCCTACAACAAAGACGGTTTGAGATCACTGCCTTCAACTAGCTTCGTTGATAGCTCAATAATAATAAGCTAGTAAGTTATCCATCACAGTCGGAATGTGTATCTTTTTGGTGCATTTCTGTTGAATGATGATGCAAAAACAGTGTTTGAATCTAATATTATCTGCAGGTAAACTCTGGGGTTAAGTTGTAGTCAAAGCTCACCATCAATATCACCAATACCTAATTTTAAATACTTTAAGCCTGCACAGTTCTGGTCAAACCTTTGGTTAAAAGAGGGCTGCACATTAGAGAAAAGATTTGGCCAGGCTGCCCTTGAGTTCAAGAAAAGCCTCTCCCAACCTCAGCCTGGAATGTATTTTTTGTAAAGTACGAGACAGACCAAATACTTTGCAATTAGTGTTATTACGAGTCAGACAGAATATCAAGAGTGCTGTAACTTAGTAACTGTAAATCCACTAGTGCTTTAAGATTGCTTTATTAAAACAGGTATGTCTCACACATAGCAACTTTAAAATGTTTCAAGAAAAAGCTTATTTCAGTAATGTTGAGCTCTTCTGATCTGGAAACTGTCAAGAAACCCCCTTATTGTCAATAAACCCAGGAAAGCCATAGGCAAGTTTATTTATATAGCACCATACATGATCTCATTGCCCTCAGTATGAGGTCGCAGCAGCTACAGTGAGGTCAAGTTTATTAAACTGGAATAACATCATTACATTCTAGCCTAACTAAAAAAACCTAACTTGTAGAGCACATTTGTATTCAGTAACTTGAGCTGAGAAGTCAAGAGACCCCTTTAAGAATGAAAATGTGCCTCTTTATTTTTTGGATCTTTATTTTCTGCTTTTTTCTTTTCATGTTTGGTACCAATGACGCAAAGTCTAAGAAGTCAAACACTTGTGATCATGGTGCTGTAAGAGGATTTGAATGAAAGAGGTCCAGTATTTGAGGTGTTGCTGAGGTCACTTTAAAAACGTTGACCTGTTGATTTGAGCTCACTTATCTTCCAGCTGCAGGCTAAATGTGTTGGTACTCTAGACTGTAAATATAAAGGTTGGTTCAGGCTTGCTGCTGGCCTATAAGACCCCGAGTCTCTCAAAGTGAATCAATAGCAACAATAAACACACAGTGTGTTGAATATGTTTCTGTTTATAAATCCAGGCCACGTTTATCAGGGCAGTTGTACCCCAAAGGCTGTGTCTGAAATAAATTGGTCATGAATTATTTAATTTTATACTGATTTGGTGCGTCATTTAAATCTGCGTACTGTTTTTGTAACTCACATTAGACCAGTCTGAGCTCTCAGTGCTTTTTTCCTTTAAAAATGTAAAAAAAGAAGCCGGCACTGCAGGAGGAGTCCCAGTGGACATTAAACGCAGTGAAAAGATGCAGATGAAAAATGAGCTGTGCCGAGAGCTGCAGTGAAGGAGGGCGTTGGAAGAAAACCGCTTTCATACGAGTTGTTTCATATTCTCACAGTGCCATGAAAAGACATTTAATGGACTCCAGTATTAACTTCTCATGATGAACTGAAGACTGTAGTTGATCTGGTGTCTCTTTGTGTCTCCTGCAGGCGGCTGTCTTTGCTGCAGCCTTCCCCTCGTCTTCAGATGACCCCGGTGACCTCCAGACCGTCCCCATGCTGAGCCAGCTCCTCAGGGGCCGGGCCAGCCAGGAGCAAGGGTGGGTACTGCGTCTCTCTGAGCCCCCTGAGTGGGTACTCCGTCACTCTGAGTCCCCTGATGGTCCTGGTGGTCTGAATATCAGCTGATCTGCTGCCGTGTTTACTGGCTGTGCTGACACATTCCAACGATTTGTAATAGGATATATCAGATCTGACAGAGAGATCCCACATTACGAGCTTGTAATCAGCTTTAGGAAAATGACATGGAGGATTCTTTCCTGTCGGGAGCTCATATTTACTGCAAATCTGACAGGACATGAACACAGCAACACTGCAGCAAGTTAGCCTGCAAGTTGGCAACAGCTGAGCAGTTTACATCAATACTACTTAAAGGAAATATATGTTTTCTAATATACCTCCAGAGACCCACCCATTCATTTTTGTCCTCTGTGGAGCACATTGGGTTTTGGTCCATTACATTGAGGTTATACATGCCACAGCATTAAGTCCAATTGTACTCCACAGAGGACATCCTGGGCTTTTCAAACATATGACATATGATGGGGTGTGGCTTTGAAAAAGATAATTTCATTGTATTTCAAAATGGCGTCCATCAACACAAGCACTATTTGTAGAAAGAGAAATGGTTAAGTTTGTAATTACCAGTGTTGTGAGGTCAATATTTAAATTAGTTATAGTAAGGGAACATCTTAGGAGTTAGTGTAGTGAGTTTCAGAGCAGTGTAATAATTATTTGACCTAAAACTAAATGTTTTTATGAATGTCCTCTAAGGAGGGCATGGGGATTTGCTAACTTTTTATTTCCCCCATTTTACATAACACAAATAGAGTCCACTATGGGCCAAAACTAACACGTAGGTTTCTGTAGGGTTCATGGCAGACGGATGCAGTGGGAACACATACATCAAGTGCCTCAAGTGTCAGATGTATCTCTGCATTTCAAAAAAGGATGGAGTTCTACAAATAAGGGCTCAATATTTGTTGCATTGAGTTGTTGTGCTCTAATGTTGTCTAAATGTACTTGTATGTTAATGTTGTTTGTATACTATTCTTCGCATAACTAACACCCGATGTCCTCTACAAAGGACACACAATAAAACAAAAATAAAAATATAATTTTTTTGTTTTTGTTAGTCATTATGTTAATACCACCCTAAAGATTTGTGTAATAAAAAAAAAAAAGGAAATGTGAAACCTTTTTCTTTCTGGGTCTCAGGAGGTTATCTACACAAATCCAGTCAATTATACAACTTCTGGTTATGTTCACGATTGTCACTTTTTTGAACAAGTGTCCATTCAAGGGAACACTGGTTATTTTTATTCAGAATAAGTTACACATTTAGTTCAAATTGAAAAAAATGTTGGTCTGCAAATCTCACTCGTAGAATACAAGAAAATAACAAAACAAACAGATGGCAAATAAATATAAATTACTCCAAACAAGTGCAGAAGAAACAATGCAACCTGGCAGAACAATTATTTCACTGATCCAAAAAAGGTTATCGCGCCTTCCCTTTTACAGAGCACAGCCGTGAAATATTAACCACAATGCCAACATGCCATTGTGATCGTACATATTTAGTTTTCTGTTGTCCATTGAATCATTTTTAGAAATACAGTAATTTGTTTAGCATAACTCTCCTGAGGTTTTGTTTTAAAACATGCGCACATACAATCATATTACTCTAATTTATTTGGATTCTTTCAGGTTATTATTTCGTGATTTGTGCTTTTTGTTTCTAATTTTCCAAGTCTCTGAACTTTTTTATTGAACAAAGCATCATTCTGTGTGGTGCAATGGGATTTGTTTTATTCATTCATAAAAGTGCAGTTGTTTGGTCGTATATAATAATAATGTGTCGTCAAAAAACAATGTTTCATTTCATTTCAAACCTTTATTTAACCAGGTGAATCCCATTGAGATCATCGATCTCTTTTTCAAGAGAGACCTGCAGAATATAAGCAGATATTTCATGTGTATCCGACACCAAGACATGTATCTCTTTATAGTCACACCAACAAGAGATGAAGAGCTTGTGGAAAGATGTAATCATTTAAACAAACACCTCATTTGATGTAAAATGTATGTTTGAATCGGGGTGGATATGTGTGGGGATCATCACCATGACTGATTCCCACATCATAGACACCGGTGGTTATTGTGGTGAACTGCATCTAAAAACAAAGCATGGATTGACCCTCACATGGCAGAGTGTGTCTTTGACGCACATTATGGTTTTACAGTTGAAATTGGTTTAGAAACAGACTTTGTTAGACATTGGTTGTCTGATCCTCAAATTTGAGCCTTTTTCACTCCTGTCACTGTGAGAAAAACAACATGTTGTTGTGCTCTCACCCGCAGGCTGCTGGACACTTTCCATGACTTGAACAAAATGATTTGCCAGAAATACAAGAGAGGGAACGGGGTGTCTCGTGACCTGCTGCTGAGGACCTTCCACCTGGAGCCGCCGCGCACTGTGAGTAAAGACCGTTCACACTTGCTTTAAAAATGTATTCCGTTACAATTAGTAAATCACTTTTACCACCTGTAAATACTGTAATCAATAACCTAATCTGAGTATCAAAATACAAAAGTAAATGTTACCTTATTACTTTCTGTTACTTTTAAATCACCTCAATATCAAATGCAATGCAAATAAATACAAGAGAAAGGAAATATCAATAAGATGTTTTTTAATTAAGTGTATTATGTAAGACAACAGAACAATGTGACCTTAGAAAAGAAGAAACCAAGATATTTAGGATCAGAAATGATTTTATGGATAGGAAAACCTGCCTTCCATTAAGCAGATTCAGGCAGTAGCCTATACAGCAACAATGAGACACATGAGCACATGGTTTAACCAATCAGATGTTCACCATACTGCATTAATGTAATCCATTACTCCCCCAGCCTGTAAACATGGGACAGTGATGCAGCATTCACCCAGCGCACAAACGCAGAGAGACTAACTTATGGCAACACAAAATAAAACATGGGAGCGGTGGAGATGAGGAGGTGTCGACGTTCTGGTGATTTACTCGGAAGGCTTCAGTAGAAGCTGCTGGGAGTCCCAGCAGCTTCTACTGAAGCCAGTCCCCAACTCCGGGGACTTCCGGCCGGGGACTCCGGGTGGCAGTATACGCCGTGAAGTTGTTTGCGGCCTGCCAGTAAACCCAAAGCAGAAGAAGACGAAGTGAAGTCAGCGGCTCATTTGCGTAATCTTCCCTCAGGGAATTTATTCCGGTGTGAGCGCGATCTGTACTAAATGCCCTGGGGTAATAAGTGCCGGGGCACTGAGTGCCGGCACTGAGCTAATGTTACAGTAACTTATGAGAGGCCGTCGAGCTGCTCACAACTCATACTTGGTCTTACAAACAATATCAGAATCTCACACATACACCATTAAACTCTTTTATACATATTGCTAAACACTTTTACACGCACAATCATACTCTCTTTCACACACTTTTGTCTGGGCCATAAATCAAACTTACTTACATACCAAACTGTACTTTCTTAGAAACACTATTATTCCCACTTGCAGACAACATCATACTACAATATAATACTCTAGTAGTGTATGCAAAATAGAAAACTTTGTGTGTGAGAGAGAATGATAGTGTATGTGAGAGAGGAATTGTAGTATGTATGAGGGTATAGTAGTGTGTGTGAGAGAGAATGATAGTGTATGTGAGAGAGGAATTGTAGTATGTATGAGGGTCAGAGATGGGGTCGTTACTCAAAAAAAGTAATATATTACATATTACTTTAAAAAAAAGTAATATATTACTTTACTTTGTTACTCTCTACATAAAGTAACTTTACTTTACTCTTTACTTTACTCTTTACTTTACTCTTTACTTTACTCGTTACTTTACTCGCAGGGCCGCCCCTCCCTACAGGCAGATCACGCAGACTGCGGAGGGTGCTTCATTTTGCGGAGGGAGCCTCATCTGAAGCGCAAATGCGGCGCACCTACAGTGTTACTCGTTACTTTACTCGACATCCTCACTCTGGATTCGGATGTCCTCCTTAGCTATTAGCTTCACGTTAGCATGTTGTCTTTGCATGTGCTTGTTGAGGTTTGACATTGTGTTTGCAGCAGTGGATAAAAGCTTCTGGCCTGGACACAGTTTGCACCTCACCGTCACATTCTTGTCCTTTCTTCGGACGAACTCAAAATAATGGGCATACCTCCACCCCTCGAAAGTTATCGCTGTTGACTCAGCCATGTTTATGCACTGCATGTGGACACGCAAGTCGCGCAAATGTTACGTAAATATAAACCTGCGGCGGAAATCCCTCTTGTCTGTCAAAGGGAGAATCTAGTAATTCTGTATGTTAGTAGGCTAACTGTAGTGTGATTACTGATTTTATAAAAGTAACGAAGTAACGCGTGTCGGGCAATGTTAGTAACTGTAGTGTGATTACTGAATTATAAAAGTAACGCGTTACATTACTCCATTACCGACAAAAGTAATATTATTACACCCAACTCTGATGAGGGTATAGTGTGTGTGTGAGAGAGAATGATAGTGTAAATGAGAGAGGAATTGTAGTACGTATGAGGGTATAGTAGTGTGTGTGTGTGTGAGAGAATTATAGTGTATGTGAAAGACAATGCTTGTGTTTTTGAGACCTTATGACAGTTTATGTGAGAGGACATTGTACTGGTTGTGAGAGAGTATACTTTAAAAGGAACGCCAGTTTAAATATTCATTCCTTGACTGGTTTACAGCCTTGAAAACAAAGCCTGAAGCTGCTCACAGCACTGCTAGCTAAATTTGAGCTGCAATAACAACTTTTGGTAACACTTTATATTAAAGGGGACCTATCATGCAAAATGCACTTTTGTACGTCTTTTATACATGAATGTGTGTCCCCGGTGTTCCAGGGAACTCACCAAGTGTCAGAAAACACAACCCTCTCTATTTTCCTCCATACCCAAATCTCTAAAAAAGGGGCTGCAACGGATCTGATAAAAACTGATCCAGATTTGAACACTGTCCTGACGTCAGGACAGTGGCGCTACGGCTATTGGAAAAACTCCACCAATCAGGAGGAGACAGCCACGGCCATTTCCGTTTGAAAGTGCTGGAGACGCTGTAGTACATATGCCAGGCCTGTAGATGGTGCTGTTCTCACAGAATCTGCCCTTGCAAAAACAGAGCTAAAAAATGTCAAATTGAGCAAAATGAGGCATGGCTAAAATGCATGATCTGTTTGGTATTTTGAAAAAAAAAAAGTATAAATATGCCTTATTTAGGTATGGTCCTATACTATATTATTCAAATATAGCATGATAGGTCCACTTTAAGGTACTGTTAAGAACTTGGTTACACAAGGGAATAAGGACTCAAATGCACGACCCGGGAGCCAGAGGTAAAGTATAATTAATATACTTTATTTTGCCAAAAAAGGATATACAAAAAGAAAACAACACTCTTAATAGAGGCGACAAAAAAGGCTTAACATAAATCGCTCACAACGTGAGGACAGAAACTTACGACAGAGTTTCAGGAGCGTAATTTAAAGGGGACCTATCATGCAAAATGCACTTTTGTACGTCTTTTATACATGAATATGTGTCCCCGGTGTTCCAGGGAACTCACCAAGTGTCAGAAAACACAACCCTCTCTATTTTCCTCCATACCCAAATCTCTAAAAAAGGGGCTGCAACGGATCTGATACAGACTGATCCAGATTTGAACACTTCTATGACGTCACAGAAGTGGCGCTACGGCTATTGGGCCAACTCTCCACCTTTCAGGGGAATGTGGGGTTGGGCCACGGCCATTGCTGGTCGAAAGCGCTGGAGACGCTGTAGTACATATGCCAGGCCTGTACGTGGCGCTGTAGTCTGCCACAAAAGCAGCGATGGTAACCATGGTTACCCTTCTGTTTATTCTCCGCTGTGGCTTTTTTTCTCCCTCCCCGAGGCAAGCGTTTGCTCCCGCTGCTTTAATTCAATGCAATCCCTCCCTGTCAAGGCAAGCACTGTAATTCTCTCCGGTTAGTCCACCAGCAGATGACAAACACCCACCTCTCCGCCTCTTCCAAGGAACGAGGGGACCGTGCGGCAGAGTTTCAGTTTCAGTTTCTTTCGCCGGTCAAGATGTCCGTTAAAGTTTAAATCTTCCGGACAAAATTAGAAAAGTGCCGGTCAAAGGTCTTCTTTGTTATTTATTGAGCTTTAAAACAAATGAATAACGACTCTATAGGCCTATAATAATATAATAAAACCATAGACTGTATATATAAATAAAACACGGAGGACGGAGATCTTTTTTTCTCCCCCTCTTGACTTGATCAGAGCACGGCTACCCTCTCCTGCAGGGGGGCGTGGTCTCACAGAATCAGCCCCGTAGACAGCAAACAGCACATAGAGTGAAATGAGGCATGGCTAAAATGCATGATCTGTTTGGTATTTTGAAAACAGAAACGTATAAATATACCTTATATAGGTATGATGATTTATATATCATTTAAATATAGCATGATCGGTCCACTTTAAGCAAGTGACAAGATAGGCAATCGTGGATGAGCAGAGTTCTGGCATGAGGACAGGACAAGACGAACTGACAACAAACAGAGGGAAACAAGGGAATATAAACAGGAGATAACTGGGAACAGGTGAAAACAATCAGGGGCGGGCCTGACGCTGATGAGCACGGGAGAACACATTAGGAAAGGGAGTCAAGGAACCTGAAATGAGACGTGACAAAACAAAACAGGAAGTGAAAGACAATACAAAAATAACAACATGAAACATGACTGACTAACACTTTTGGCGGTGCACAACAGGTACACCAATTCTCCATCAACTAGTTGTTAATTAACATGCATATTAGCAGTATATTGGCTCTTTATTAGTCATTATAAAACACTTATTAATGCCTTATTCTACATGGCCATATTCTACAAGTAATAAGCCATTAGTTGAGAGTTTTTCCTCAATAACCCTCTAATTAGTGCTTATTTATTGCAAGTAAGGAAGTTGTTGTATATGAGTTTGGGTCTTAATATGCTCTGCTCAATATGGGCCTTTTAAGGCAGTAATACCACAAGAATAGTAATTCTCCCATAATAACACCTAACAAATATGATCTATTCTCATGTAACAAGACATGAAACTATAAGTGTTAATTAAGTCTAAATAACTCAAAATGAGGTATTTCTATCTAAGAATATGTTTCCTATTTTAAAGTGAAGTCTTGTTCATAACCAATACGCTAGTAGTTTGAATCTAATTGACCTGAACAGGTTCCCTATTCTAAAGTTGCCTCCTCTTTACACTTTGTAAATACATTATAGCACACAACTACTGAAATTAACCTCAACAGTACATGAACAAAGTAGGCACACGTTGAAATATCTGTTTTATTAAACCACTAATAAGGCTGAGAACACATATGCAGCCTGTACTTTTTAATAAAAACTGATTTTTAACAGAGTTTATCTATTTGTGATCAT